AAAAAAAAAAAAAAATGATAAATGCCATACATCTATTTCGTTTTTTTTTTAAATAACTCATGCCCTAAAAACTACTACAAATACTGAAAAATCCAAAAAGTCTAAAAATCCCTGAAAGTTTGATAAATGCAAGAATAACTAAAAGAAGTGAAAAACTGTAGTTATAACTAACCCTAAAAACTGAAAAATATTACTAAAAAGATCAATATTCTAGCTTTAATTAACAAAACACTATGTCATTCATTCAACTTTAAGTGCCAATCTCAGGTGAATTTCATCCTATATAGCCAGATATGTACATGTCCACACGAGATTTTTTCTCGTCGGATCACGCATTAACATGGAAACATAAACGCAACCGATGCAAGAAGACTAAAAGGAAACTGTACAAGTGATATACTATAGCCTCCTTCTCAACCTCCTTAACAACGAGCCCACGACATTCATGTATACCTTACTAATCATTCTGTGATTCGTGTAGTCTCTACTAACATGCAGCTATGTTTCTTACTTTCTATTCATTCATAAATCACACGTGCCGAACAATTAGGACCATCACTAACATAAAAATGCAGCTTTGATCAAGCTTCGACAGTGCAATTAGCACGTGGGATTAAAAGTGAGGGTAAATTTCGTATTTTGTACCCGTTTCCCCAGAACGAGGCGAGGCAGAGGCCCATTATAGCCATGGCCACAACCGAGCAAGCAGCAGGGACAGCTTGCGTGGGACTAAGGAATTGGGTCGCGAGAAGCCCGGCAAGAGTCGAGCTTTGCATTCCAGAGCACAATGAGATTGTTCGGCATACTTCTTCTTCTAACCTGCTACAGCACCGTATAATGTTTTTTTACAAAAAAAATATAGGAAAAATGACCTCCAACCATGAATAAAAAATATAGGAAAAATTTCGGATAATTTTTAACTATTTTCATCGTGTAGTCCAGTCCTCAATAAATAACCTCAGCTGTACACGAACGCTATTGATGATCTTGAGCGTAAATAGGGAAAAATGTCTGTTTTTTTTATTTTTTTTTATTTTTTTCTTCTCTTTTCCTATTTAATTAGACTTGATCTCAGGGCAGATAACTAACTAATCTTCACAACTGCATTCAACACGATGAATATCGACAAAATGGACAAAAAATGCATTTATGGGAATCATTGCTCTCTTAACTACAGTTTTTCAGAAAATAATTGAAGACAACGAACGAGATACTTGCCTAAGAGGCCCGATTTTGGAGATCCAATAGCCCAATGTAAATGCCGCAGCATGAAAAGATAGTACAGGTCCAACTAATCTCAAACCCTCTGCAGATAGGATTTGGGCCCTATTAATGGCAAGTGGGCTCCCAATACACATTGAAGTGCAAATCATTGCAACAAATGGCATCACGGGTTGCAAGAAGGACACAACTGGTTTGGCGTAAGTGTTGAGCAACAAGCCAAGAGTCACAGGAGCAAGTACAACCTGAAAAAATCAAATTAGCATTAGCAAATATAACCTTTTAAATATAACACTCAAGCCTTGAGTCACAATAAAGCAATATTCTTCTTTTTGGGACAAGAGTTCAGTATCCCCCCGACAAACTCAAAAACCGAAGGTTTGATTGATTAAAGAACTAATCGTTATGTTTCATTCTGACTACATATATATAAACCACTTTATCTTTCACAATTGAAATACAACCCTTGTACCCTACTTGTACTCTACTAGTCTACTTCACTAATTGCACCTGCTAATGGGTTTATTCATAATAAAAGAAAGAGTTATAAGAACGTATTTTTCAATTCACATCAAGAGGTTGTTTGTAATTTCCAGAAATAATCAGATAATTTGTTTCTATGTTACTTATTCCGCAGACAAAAAATTTCAAGTGGTATATTTAATGCCTCAGTCTCACCAGAATACTTGTAATTTTGGAAGATAATTGGAAATATGTAACTAAGACAAATAATTTTCAGATTGTTCTTCAGGGCTCTAATACCTGCAAAATCGATTTCGACATAGCAACAGCATCAACTGGGACAACAGAGCCAATAAGAAGGCCCGTCAAAAGAGGAGTAACAAGAACTGAAAAAATCGTTGAACAGCTCGTCAAGAGGATACTCAAGGCCACGTCCCCTTTACTCAAGAAGCTGGCGTAGCTGGATAACTGGGCCCCAGCAACGCATGACGTTAAAACAAAGCCAGCATAAAACATCGGTGATATCCCAAAGGCCCGTGCCACAAACACCCCGAGAGCCGGTTTCAATACATACTGAGCAAAAAATCCAATGGACAAGGGCAAAGGTCTGCAGAGAGAAATAAGAAAAGAATTCACTATAAAGTAACTATGCAAATACCAATGGTCAAATATTCACAAAACTGAAAACGGAAAATAAGATGGAAAACTTGTTTAACAACCTCTTAAACGCCAGAGCAAAATCATCAATTGAGAGTTTGATTCCAATAGATAACATAATGCCTCCTAGTGCAGGAGCATACAAGTCTTTCGACACCCTGCAGGTTCCTCTATCATTTACAAAACAAACAAGAATATATACCTCTTAAGAAAGCATTAAACACATTTGAGACGAATAACAAGATTGCTTAAAATCATCATAATATCTGTGAAATTTTTTTAGTGATCATAGTAGACCACCGTAGGCATACAAGTTGCACGAGCCACCCGTACGTATGTAGTATCATTAGACTAGTAAATAATTTCCAAGAAGAATCACTACCAAATTAGTTACATAAACAGGTACAGACTACAATAAGAAATTTATAACTATTACATAAAAACAAAGAGAATGTTACTAGCATATACATAAAATAAGAAATGACTGGTTATCATGCAGATGTTCAAATTTCCTTTCCACATCATTCTGGATAAGATACATAACTCAAGAATAAAAAAAATAAATAAAATAAAGATGTTTGCTAGTGAAACAACCCACAAACAGCAAAACTTCAAGCAAACACAAAGTCATTAGGGATCAAATGACAACATTATGGATATAAAATCAAAGTCAAACAATATAAACACCACCCACCAAGTGAAAGTCGAAGGCTTGGAAAGGGCAGCCACAGCAGTGAGAGCCACCACAAACGGAAGCATAGCCGACAAAACCTGTGAAAGGTCAGATTTTTCCTCAGCATCATCGAAAACAATTTTCGGGTCCACACCGAACGAAAGCGGAGAAGAATTCCCCTCTCTCTTGTGCAGCCCGACCCTGCCCAAGAAAGGCAAGGAAGTCGAACAAGCAACGGCGACCAAAGGGCCCCCCTTCACATTCCTGCCCCTTCTCGAAAACCCTTTTGTAATAGGAGCAAAAGAACGGTTCTTTTGAAAGGTAGAGGGAATTGAATTATTGGGGTGGAAGAAAATTAGAGTCTTGGGAAGTGCCTGAAGGGTTAGACAGGGATTTAGTGACATCTCTCTGTATGGGGTTTTGATTAGGTTGGACTGCCGGAGGAAGTACGGCGTTTCCCGGCAGCCGGCCGATTGTGTGGCGGTGGCGGTGGCGGAGGAAGAGGAGGAGTCCGGCAAGGAAAGGGATAAGGTTAGATGGTTATAGAAGTTTTATTAGCCAAGGCCTTTTAAGCCTTCTTTTATGTCAGAGCTTGCCGAATAAGGGCCATTTGAAGTAATTTGCTGCGTGAATTGGAACCACCGAACCAGTAATGTAAACAGTGCAGTAGTGCTATGGAGCCAATGGTTGGCTCCCTTAAGCCAACCACCAATCAAACATCTCTACATGGGGAGGTTTCATATTAATTTAATGTGGGACATCCCCATGTGGAGATGTTTGATTGGTGGTTGGCTCCATAATGTGGGACATCCCTATGTGGAGATGTTTGATTGGTGGTTGGCTCCATAAGGGAGCCAACCATTGGCTCCATAGCATTATTGGTAAACAGTGTGGGGGTAGGGGTATCAGTGCTACTACCGTGTGCCTTGGCACACCTAGCAAGGTATGCCAAGGCAGTTTAAAATGAACATGTTTCATTACAAAATGAACATGTGTAAATATGTTTACACATGTTCATTTTATAATGAAACATGTTCATTTTAAAAAAGCTTTGGCACACCTAGCAAGGTGTGTATTTGCGGTAGGGGTATTGTTGTTTCCATAGTGGACAAACGAACGGCCTAGATCATTCTTGTGTTGGAAAATAAAAAATAAATAAATAAAGACATCAACAACACACCACATACACCTTTTTGTGGTTGTTGCAAATTGGAAACGTGATTAAAAAAAAAAAAAAATTGAAAAATATTTGTCCCTATATTGGTTGTAAGTTGTAACTAGAATTCAAATTCAGGCTAAAATAAAATTTTAAGTTTCAATTTTTTTTCTTATTTCGTAATTTAATTCCAAATTTGATTTCGAGTAGGACTGTAAACGAGCTGAGCCGAGTTCAGACTCGAGCAGGTTAGAGTCGAGCCGAGTTCAGAGAGTTTGGCTTTAGCAATATTAACGAGCCAAATATAAAAAAAAAGATATATATGAAAGTTCTTCTTGTCGAGTGCGACTCATTAGCTAACAACTCGTTTATTAAAGTAACCGAGCTCACGAGCAGCTCATTTCCTTTAATGACTATTTTAACATAAAAGCTTCTGAGTTTTACAAATCCAAGCAGTCAATAAACCTGAATTTGAATGCTTAAAGCGTGTGGCTTGTTATTTGACATGACGAAGTTGAAATAACATGTCACCGATGAAAAAATAGAAATAAAATTAATTGGAATTGCAACTGAGATTTTTATTTATACTTTTTTTACATTGCGACTTCAAAATTTATACTTTCTGAGATATGATTTTTAATTGTTGAAGTGTGTAAAATCAAAGAGTAATATATTTCATCCTATAGTATTTGTTTTATCATGACACATTATATGTGTTGTTTCTTGAATTGATCTACTGTTGTTGAACTGAAATTATTTAATTAAACTTGTTATAATTTTTTGCATATAGTAATACCATGTGGCTGTAGTTAAATCACACTTGTGTCACTGTATTGCCTGAAATGTTCTTGATCAAATGTACACAAGGTCAACTCTGTTATTTGATGACCCCACTAAAAACCATGACTTTGATGGTCGCATTAAAAATTTAAAACAACTATACTTTTCTAGGATACTAGCAAGGTTTAGTATAATGCACCTATGTCAGAACAAACCATAATTGATAATACCATATAAATGGTAAGAAGCACTTATATTCACAACACAAACGAAACTAAAGAACTAACTACTCAACCGAATATACAGCCAACGACCGAATAAGTTGAACAATTAACTCTAATAGAGAGAACTTCGTACACACTTATTTTCGGAACTGATTTCTTCTGTGAATGACAGTGAATTTCATCCTAATGCCCACATCGAATATTTTATTTGTCTGAGCATAGATATTTGTAGGAGTGAATGATTGTGCTTTAGCGGATAAAGTGTCCACACTAGCAGGGTCGAAGTCGAAGATTCCCAAGTTTCGCTCGCGTTATTTGTAAAAACCACTAAATTTAACTCGTGTTACTCATATTTCATGTCAAATGTAAATTACGTTCTTGCACTGGGTTCAAATGTTTTTTTGCTTGACCTCGAAATCGACTCGTTTTGTCAATTTTAACGAGTCGAACTCAAACATTAACGAGCCGAACTACATAAAATTATATAAAAATTCTAATTTTCGAGCCTTAACAAGCCGAGTCAAGTCAACTCGCTAATTAAACAGGCTTTCAATGAGCTCCAACTCGACTTGTTTACCGAAGGAGCAGTGTCGAGCTCACGAGCTGATCATTTCGATTAACAATTCTAATCCCAGGAAAGAAAGTTATTCACCAGGTTCGCAAGTGAATCAAACTACAATTCTACAATAAACACCCTATGCTTCTACCGAGTATTTTAAGAAATGAATGTTCACCTAACGAAACCGCGCACGAGAAAGAGAGAGAGAAAGATACACGAAGTTTTTCCCTTCCATTAAAATTCGTCCAATAAAACACAGACTTTCAAAACAGCAATCATTTTCAGATTCATATGGAAACAACTAATAGACATCATCAAAAAGTAAAGCCTACCTTAAATTCACGCTATCCTGCGTGTACAAGGATCACAGCATAGACAGTCTAGTTACCAACAATAATGTTGAGTAGTGTCTGAAAAAACAATCTCTCTTTTCATATGTACCAAAGGTAAAGAAAAATTTTGAAGGGCATCATTCTACAAATATCATTTGTGACAATACGGGCTTCCAAATAATATGACAGTCAGATCAAGAAAATAACCTCGGACCCTATAACAATCTTACAGTGTTATGCTAAGCAGCCTAATCTTTTTTCTTAGTTTTCGAATGGTTCATTTTTCTTTCCCGCAAACGTTATTTTTTTTCCGTAATCTACAGAAGTAACAAAAACTGATAGTACTCCTGAAATTCGTCAAAGTATGGTTTCCAATTCTTACCTTCGTCTTGAAGTAAAAAGATCATAGCATTCACTGTAATCAAAGCAAAACAAAGTCAGTACTCATTAGACTGCTAGACATGGGAGCAAATTAACAAAGAAACACGACCAAACGACCAATACAAAACTGGAAACTGAAAAAAGAACAATTTATTCCTTATTCACTTCCACAGTGGAAGCACGTATAAATCGTAACCAGACATTTATACTACGAAAAAAGAGAACCAATTCAAACAAATTCTGTCAATGTCCACACATTCATGATCACTCCACAACGAAACCCGGGCAAATTTATCACCTGATTCGCATCCTTACCCAGATGATCTCTCTGTCTTCTCGATCAACCCTTTGGAGGGGCCCACATGACTTGGCTTTGTCGGAGAGGATTTTGGCATGACTACTCTGTGGACTCATCATCACTACGAAAAGCAACTTCACGAGCACAAAAACCAGAACACAAAGAAATATGATCCCTAGAGCGGAGTCTCTCCTCAGATCTGTATATACAAGAATTTAATATTTCACAATTTGATTGAGCTAATGTGCACCATTCATCTTTCCATTGAAAAATCTACATTGTTGCCTCTGCTGCATTATCCTGATTGACCTTGTATCTGAGCCTCCCCAACCGAATCTGATAAAAAGAACATAGAATCAGCTCCTTCAATCATATGAGTGGAAATCTCGAAAACAATGCTAACTGAAAGGTTAAGGTTTTCGGGTGCTAACACAATGCAGCCAAAATTAGAGGCAAATAAGCATGTCTTGTATCAATTGGAACATCAAACATTTAGAATCTACAACCTCATCGAATCCAAAGATTTTTCGAATGAAAAAGGTGGACTTAATGACATGCCATATCAATTTCTATGAGTATGCATGTTTTAAAGGGTAATTTAGTTTAAAATGTGCAAAAAGGATCTAGCAGTCAAAAAGATCCAACCTTTTCTGCACTTCACGCGAAAAAAAGTGACACTAATTCATAATTCAACGCACTACATTTCAATCTCATTTTCCTCCGAACTCTAAGATTTGCCCTCATTGCTATCACGGATCCCATTGATACGCAAAATGCTTCTCCTTTATCACACCTCATAATTATTGCTCATAAAACCCAAAAATCTAATCAGAAACAAACAAATCAAAAGATAGCACACACATCTAACCAACCACATAATTATTGCTTGAAAAAACCCAAGAATCCTATCAGAAACAAACAAATCAAAAGATAGCACAACATCAAACCGAAGAGCAAACAAACAAATACCAACAAACAGATAAAACAACAGAAACTAAAACTCATCACGAAAGATTACTGACTTTAGAAGCAGACTCTGCTATACCGGGGACGGCCTGTAAATCCGAACCTGGACCAGGAGCCGCCACACAATCTCTCGGAGTCTCAAAAGAAGACAGAGAAAACTGCTTCGAGACCACGCTCACATTGAAGTAAATCAACCCGGAGCTGGGGATATCAACCCGGATTTCAATCACAGGCAGCCACAGAAACAAATCCCGCGCCGAAATCCCCGACAACCCATCGATCTGACCGTACCGGATCGTGCCGGATACGTTCATGTCGTAATGAAGCTCGTTCTCGAACTTGGCGTTGCAGGCGCGATCCAGGTGGACCTGGAACTTGCCGGAGTTGTCGTAGCTGAAATTCCTGACCCCCTTGGGGAGAAGACCCATCGGCAGGCCGTGGTTTTTCAGGACCTCGTATATCGACGATCCGGAGGGCTCGTCGGACGCCGCAAACGCCGGCAGCGACGAACAGATTAGGACGGCGGCGAGCAGGACCAGGGCGCTGCGCATTTTTTCCCTTCTCATCTCGATAACTTCTACCGCCGGGGAGGTTATATCATGGAGGGTTTTTTGATACGGGCGGCGAAGGAAAGCGCGGCGGCGGCGGCGGAGGAGGAGGATTTTAGTGAGGAGGAGATTAAGGAGACGGCTCTTTTTGGCCAGCGAGAATACAGATGGGATTTATGCGAAAACGAATAATGATCAATTATTGGTGGGTGGAGGTGTGGTTGCCTGCGGATGCGTGCAGGGGACCGAGTTGTTGTATTTGGAGAGAGTGGTAGTCGAATTGAAATTTTGTGCCTTGTGGTGGCACGTGTGAGTGTCTGATTGGGGAAGAGGAGGACGGTGTTGGACGGCGCGTGGCAGGGGATTAGAGGGATCGGGTGCAGGTGATATGCATGGAAAAAAATTTGAGCGATAAGAGGAAAATGTGGTGATAAGAAGCAATGGGGAAGGGGCTAACGCTTTGACAGCTGGCCGTGGAATATACGGTCTTACTTTATTTCATGAGGTAATTGTGATTGGATGTTGAATTATTTCTTAAACAAAAATTGAATGGTTAAAATGGAAAACATTAAAACTAAAAGAAATATAAAAAAATTGTGAATGATCATAAAATAATAATATAATCTTAGTATAATATAAAATTAACAAATTTAACAATAATTAATAGGGAAAAATATGTGAGGGTGATAATATTAAGGTTATGTTGGATAGACAAATAAGCTAGCTTATAACTTATTTGGTTAGCTTATAAGCTACCTGTATCCAAATAAGCCTTATTCGGTAGAACAAGTTTTTTTAAAAGCTCGAGCTTATTTGATAAGTTTCTTTAGTAGTTTTTTCAAATAAACTAGTTGAATTTTTTTATTCCAGCTAGCTTATTAGCTAATTTTACCAAACACTTTTATCATATAAGCTAGTTTTTCCAGTTATAAGTCATAACCTATAAATTATAAGCTCGAAAATTACTGATAAGCTATAAGCTACTTATCAGCTATTTTACCAAATATAGCCTAATAATAATGATTGTTTCTTCCACGTTCAATCATCGAACCATAGTAATTTTTTAATTTCTAATGTAGAGAGTCAGATTTGATGGATAGTATTAAATAATAACAAAATATTTTGCATACATTCTTATATGAGGCGGTCTAACCGTTAGACAAGTCGACTTATCAAACATTTTATAAAACAACTGCATAGTTGTGATATCAAATGTACC